GGCCCCCGGACACTGTTTTAACTCAGTACTGAAGTCACTCCTGACGTTCACCCTTCAGCCAAAGATTAGACAGGTATATAGGGCCAACTCATACAGGGCCACTATGAGTCAGAATCGACTTGATGGCAATGGGTTTGGTATAGGGCCAACAACAACACACGTGAGGAACGGGCTTCATAGATCAATTCATGCATAGGAGACTAATGGGCACACCAGCCCAAAAGCAAAGATGAGAAGGCAGGAAGGGACAGGAAAACTGGACAAATGGTAACAGGGAAACTGGGGCAGAGAAGGGGAGAGTGTTGACACATCTCGAGGTTGGCAACCAAGGTCACAAAAACAATTTGTGTATTAACTGTTAAATGAGAAACTAATTTGCTCTGTAAACTTTCACCTAAAGCACAAAAAAAAGCTTGTTGAATAAATAAACGCAAATAATAAACGTATTGCTAATGGTGTAACCGTTTACCTTACGTAGGAAACATTTCACACTAACCTCTTCTCCATTTTCCTCTTCAGCATCCTAATGCCTTAAACAAGATCAAGATAAGCTGTTAAGGCTTCACCATCACATTAATTCAGTGTCCATCAAGCAAGCACTTATTAAGCACTTACTATTAATGGAAGGGGCACCGAGGATTACATATGTAATCCATTACAGAGTATTAAAAAAAAACAACAAAGCCCAGCTTATGGAATACATGATACTTTTCAGGTAGCACTGACTTTTGTAGCTGTTTTATGTTAATTTTCTAATTTGCATTCTGAGCCCTTATTTCTTGTTGTAAAAATATATATAACACATTTGCCAATTTAACGTTTTTCACTTACACAATTTAGTGACATCAGTTACATCAATCACGTTGTACAACCATCACCATTGTCTGTTGTCAAATTTTCCATCACCATAAATGGAAACTCAGTGCTTCCTAAGTGACTCCCCCTCCCCCCTCCCTCGCTGGTAACCACGAATCACCTTTGGTTTCTATACATTTGCCTACTCTAGACATTTCATACGAGTGAGGTCATACAATAGTTATTCTTTTGTGACTGACTTATTTCACTTAGCATAATGTTTTCAAGGTTCAGCCAAGTTGCAGCATGTATTAGGACTTCATTTCTCTTCATGGCTGAGTAATACTCCATTTGTATATGTACATTTTGTTTATCCATTCATCTGTTGATGGACATTTAGGTTGTTTCCACCTTTTGTAAACCATTACTTATTAAGCAATCAAGGTGGGCAGACTGGGAAAGTGTCTTGTGAAGCCACACCAGAATTAACAATGCTGGAGAAGGGAGGTCGATATTTGGAACATGGTGTAGGGGGGGAAACACAAGGCTCTGAAGTCACATAAGCTTGAGTATGATTTCTGACCTTATCACCAGCAGTAAAAACCTTGCAAAACCTCAGTTTTGTATCTACAAAAATGGGGATAATAAGCGTTTGTCATTGCTTTCCCACGGAGTGGTGAGGATTCCCAGGATGACAAAAGTGAAGTACCTCATTGCAAGAATCCTAAGTAAGGTCACGTGGGCAAAGCACCCAACACAGGGTCTGGCACAAACCAGGCATTCAATATGCATTAGTGGTCTCCCCTCCTGGTCTTTCAGACTGATCTCCCAGAGAGCCACTGTGGGGTGTAAGAGCTTGGAAGGGTGAGGACCCAAGGACTGCTAGATTGAGACTGACTGTCTCCTACATATGTTTTTTTTCCTCTTGTCCCTGTGGGCAAAAGGCAAACAAGAATGAACTGATAACAGGAACATCCACTGAAGCAAAACAGGTCCCATGAAGAAGATAATCTACTCAAGGACAAACCAAAGTCAACTGTAGCTGGGTCCACACAGGTGGGGAGAAACTCATGGGAAGTTGGAAAGGGATTTTCTATTTTATGGGGATTAAAAAACCTGTTGCTGTCGAGTTGATTGCAACTCATGGCAACCGCATGTGTTATACAGTAGAACTGCTCTATATGGTTTTCTTGGCTGTAATCTTTACGGAAGCAGATCACCAGGCCTTTCTTCTGTGGTGCCGCTGGGGAGATTCAAACTGCCATCCTTTAGGTTAGTAGTTGAGTGCAAACCTTTTGCACCATCCAGGGAACTTTATGGGAAATAGGTTTTTAAAAGCCTATTACTGGGAATAACGATAACTATTATAAAGACTAATTATAACGGCAGCTACCATTTGTTGAGTGCCTATGTGCCAGGTACTATATCATGGGCCTTTGTCTCCAGCCTTTTTTAAAAATCACTTTACAGATTTGAAAGCTGAGGCTCAATATGGTTAAACAGTTTGCCCAAAGTCAAAGAGCTGTAGCCCAAACCCGTTGTTGTCAAGTGGATTCCGATTCATAGCGACCCTGTAGGACAAGGTAGAACTGCCTCGTAGGGTTTCCAAGGAGCGGCTGGTGGATTAGAACTGCTGATCTTTTGGTTAGCAGCCAAGCTCTTAGCCACTTGCACCAAATGAGCTGTAGGCAGGAACAAACCAAGATCTGTCTGGCTCTTGCAACCACACCATATAGACAGCAAAAAGGGCTTTGCCCTTTCCCTTACTCTGAGCAGGGGTGTAATCCATTATGAAAACAGGGCTCCTCTATAAACTGTGCCTTAAACCCATATATTCTCTTCCATATGAAAGGATGCTCTATTTGCCTGACAAAAGACCTAAGAGTTAATGCTTGACAGCTTCAAAAGTACTCTTCTCTTGAAGCTTAAGCACGTCAAACAGAGCCACATACAAACCTTGCACATCCTCTTTCCAGAACTATCGCTGACAGGCAGGAGAGGGACAGAATGTTGCAGCCCACAGTCACTCTAAAATCATGATGGGTCTCCACTTACAAACCCCCAAATCTCTGGGACAGGGGAGCTGCTTTCACCCAGGCATTTAACTTAAGGGAATTCACCTATTATTGCCCAGGAAAAAAATTAGTGATCAGTAATTCAAATTCTGTGGGCAAAACTATTGTGAGCCTCTACCCTGAAATGATGGGAGATCTGAATCTGCCTTTTCTCCAGGTAGTCTTTCCACCATCTGCCTCTCTGGGCATGATCAAATGTTTCCCTGCACAGAGATTGATTCTGGATTTAAAGATACCTATGTTTTTCCCACCACCATCCATCTGTCAGTTTGTTGTACTGTGGTGGCTTGCATGTTGCTATGATGCTGGAAGCTATGCCTCTAATATTTCAAATACCAGCAGGGTCAGCCATGGTGGTCAGGTTTTAGAGAAGCTTCCAGACTAAGACGGACTGGACTGCCAGGCCTTTCTTCCTAGTCTGTCTGGCAGTCTACTTTCAAAAACTGGCCAGTGAAAATCTTATGGATCTCAACAGAACATTGGCTCACATGCTTTGGACACATCATTAACAGTGAGCAATTGCTGGAGAAGAACATCATGTTTGGTGAAGCAGGGGGCCAGCAAGGATTTGGGGGATCCCTGGTGAGATGGATTGGCACAATAGCTGCAACAATGGACTCAAGTAGGCCAGCGATCATGAGGATAATGTAGGACAGGGCAATGTTTCGTTCTGTTGTTTATAAGGCCACATGAGTCGGAGTTCTCAACAGCAACCATCTTTTTTTTTTCTTTTACAAAACATGGTCTGCAATACAAATCAACTCCTTCCTCTCATGCTCAACTGAGGAAAAAGGGATCAAGGACAATTTTGACTACACTTTGCCTGACACTTTGACTTCAGACTCTACCCTCCTCATAGGATCAGTTCCTCTGAAACGTCATGTGTTTCTGCACTGAGTTCTGGCCACTTGGGACCCTTGGCCTATGTGCACCAGTTTAGAATTAAGAGTCACTTCCCCCTGCCCTCTAAGTGAACAGCTGAAGAGGAATTGAGAGGGGAGCTGCCAAATGCTAGATGAAACATCTAGCTAAGTGCGTCTCAAACTTTAAGGCACATTAGATCTGGTGATCTCATTGAACTACAGATTCTCATTCAGTAAGTCTAGGTTGGAGCCCAAGCTTCTGCACTTCCAACCAGCTACCAGGGACACACTTTGAATAGCAAGGGTCTAGCTGACCAAAGGAGCCCTGGTGGCGCAGTGGTTAAGCACTTGGCTGCTAACCAAAAGGTTGGTGGTTCAAACCCACCAGCTACTCCTTGGGAGAAAAGACCTGGCAATCTGCTCCCATAAATTCCAAAAACCCAAACCAACCACCGTCAAGTCGAATCTGACTTACAGTGACCCTATAGGACAAAGTAAAACTGTCTCAAAGGGTTTCCAAGGCTGTAAATCCTTCCGGAAGCAGACTGCTACATCTTTCTCCCACAAAGCGGCTGATGGGTTCGAACCATCGACCTTTCAGTTAGCAGCCAAGCGTTTTAACTATTGCACCACCAAGGCTCCTCCCATAAAGAGCACAGCCTAAGAAACCCTTCGGGGCGGTTCTACTCTGTCATATAGGGTCTCTGTGAGTCAGAATCAGCTTGACGGCACCTAACAACAAACTGACCAAGGCAACAGCTGGGTGCTCTGTCCTCCCACTGCATTTTAGATGCCATATATCCACTACCTCACCCAGTGCCTGGAATCTAATAAGTGCTCAATAAATATTAGCTGAAGATGATTTTTCCATATATCGTAACTGTGAATCATCTCCTTTTGTTAGTCAATCATTCAGAGACGACTGTTGTTAGGTGACGTCAAGTCAGTTCTGACTCATAGTGACTGTATGTATAACGACTAAACGTTTTCTGGTCCTGCACCACTTTCACAATATAAGTATGTTTGAGCCCATTGTTGCAGTCACGGTGTCAATCCATCTTGTTGAGGGTCTTCCTCTTTTTCGCTGACCCTCTACTTTACCAAGCATGATGTCCTTCTCCAGGGACTAGTCCCTCCTGATAACATGTCCAAAGTAAGTGAGACAGAGTCTCACCATCCTTGCTTCCAAGGAGCATTCTGGCTGTACTTCTTCCAAGACAGGTTTGTTCATTCTTCTGGCAGTCTGTGGTATAAATATTCTTTGCCAACACCATGATTCAAATGTGTCAGTTCTTCTGCAGTCCTCCCTATTCATTGTTCCACTTTCCCATTCATACGAGGCGACTGAAAATACCATGGCTTGGGTCAGGTGCACCATCCCCTCTTGACTGATTTTGTTCTTTACTTCTTTCCCCCGCCCCACACTCAATGCAATCCTATCTCCACCAAAAAAAATTGGTGTCATCAGAATAAACTTGCAGAATACGGAGTTTAGAAAACAGAACTCATGCATTTCTGATAGCTAAAGTAAGGAGAAGCATTTGCTGGTAAGCAAGAGATCTGATTTTTATTCATTAATTGGCTGGCTGTTCTTGGGAAAAATAACTGCTTAGGGTCTCAGGTGACAGATCTGTGAACTGAGTTAGACTAGATGACCTCCTGCAGGCTCTTCAGCACTTTAAATGTTAAACATCAAGATAAAACAGGCTGGGTCAAAGATGACAGATGAGTCCTCCAAAGAGTTAATAGTTGAAAACTTTATTTTCTCAAATGAGCACCAACACAGATTGGAAATATGACAGAAACAATGCACTTTTCTCTAATACTGAATCACTATATACAAATACAGGAAAAGGTGAAGACAAATTATTTGAAAACAATTACTTTTGTTATTGAAGCGAAGTGACCTCAAAAATGCAAAAAAAAAAAAAAAAAAAAAAAAACCTGAACCCAACAATTACAGTTTGTAAACACAAGCATAAATAGATTCTGTATTGAAAGATAGTCTCTGCAGACTGGAAAAAGGGAACTGACTCCCACTTTCACTGAAATGTTATACAAAAACATAGGGGCCGACAGAATTTGGTAACACAAGAACAGCTTGGTTATTCTTGGTTTTACCTTCCACTGTCGGTAGATTTCATGACTGTATTTTAGTTTTAAAAAAATTAAACGTCTCTTTCCTCTACCTAGACCACTAGCAAGTTTTCTCATTTGAGGCAGATTCTATTAAAATATGGAAGTTGATTGTGTTCAAGATTTGATTTCCTAGCCTCTTCCTGAACCTGAGGCAATCTGACCTTTAAAAAAAAAAAGCTGTTTACCTACAAGGTATGTGTATTTTTTATTAATGGTCTTTCAACTCAAACCAGTTAAAGTTTAACATGATGTGGCTTCTAAAACAACTGGAGCCCTGGGATACATGATTAATACACTCGCATCTCAGTAAGCAGCACAGATTTGACTCTGCTTGATCTTCCAAACAACACATTTCCTTTACAGCTTCTAAAAGCTGAGCACACAGAGAAAGAAAAAGGAGCAAATCGGCAACAGCTCCCTGCTTAGGAAAACAAAAACCTCGTGGTTTGTGCTGTTGGTCCACTAAGAAACAAAAACAACCAGAGAGAAAGGGAAAAAAATTGTATGCGCCCGAGGTGTAAACTGTAGTTATGTCCCCAATAAAAAGAGAAAAACAGGAGGTACAATCCAAAGTGCTTCCCCCACCCCCTCATCACACACACAGTAAAAAAACAAGATTCCAATTAGTTGGAAATTCTTCCAACAAGAGGAATCACTCAAAAGTTGTTACTAAGTTTACTTGATTTTATTTATTTCTTTTCTAGCCAATACTGGTGCAAGAAAATATTTCAATTCTCAACATGGTAACGTACTGCAGAGTCTGTTCCATTGGAAAAAATGCAGAGAGGCAGTGTTTTATTGCCTCGGTCCAGACGAAAATGATAGACCTTTAAAAAATAAAAGTTTATTGGTGATAACTGTTTCCCTTAAAATGTACTTCAAGAAATGCAGAGGAAACCATAGAATTTACAAACAAAAATAAAAAGTGCTCTCAGGGGATCTGAGAAAACAGCACCAAATATATTATTTAAAAAATTAAATATTATTTACAAAAGTATATTTCACAAGCAACTGTTTCTTTATATATATCAACTTGAAAATCTTTTTATAAAGGGGACACCTCTTTTGCACACGCTGGTCCACCAGTGCAAACTGACTTTAGTGATCTTACTGGATAGGAGTTGGGGCAGGACCCAGCCAGGCCCAGCTGAGAACTTGTGGGCATCAAGTTCGGCTATATTTGATTCATGTCAAATCAACCCACCACCAGCAGCCAGAGACGAATGTCCCGGGGGATCGGGTGTAATCCATGGCAGCCAAGGCCATACAATCTAGGGTGCCACAGGCGAGATGGAACTAGATAGTCTGCCGGCTGGACTTCAGTTCAAAATGAAGGCAGCTGCTGGCTAAGGTATAAGACTTCATGCCTTTCCCTTTCTCACCTCTCCCTTTCCCTGTCCCCCTCCCTCTACCCAAACATACTCCAATTCCCTGAACCTACCAGGGGTGAATGGATGAGGTCTTTGGTTATGCTCTGAGTCGATAATTTGGTGAGGAAACTAATTAAAGAATGAACTGACTGAGGCCATGAGTTGACACATCTCCATTGCTCAGCTATGGCCCCTCCAATACTGCTAGACGTTAGATAGACAAGCCATGAACAAGAGCTAAACTTATAAGAAGCACTTTAGGTTTCACTGACACAAAGGGAAAGCCTAATGAATTTTTTCTTTCCTGTAGTTTTGGGAAAAAACAAAACCCTACTCAGATCTCTCACACCAAGTATGGTGCCATGCACCCATTGGATGCTCACTTGATACTAACCGAATAAAACCGGAACCAGGGTGTGACTGGAGCCTGCTCTGATCCTGCAGCAAACAGAGGCTCCATCCCCAAGAAAAAATAGTGGCATATTGGTCTCCTTCTCTGTTCCTTGAAAATTCTAGGGCATCCTATGTCCAGTATTTAACCCCCATTGTCATTTAATCCCCCCTTTTCTTTTTATGGAAAGGAGTATCAATGTCTGGACTTACCCTGAGCAAAGAAGCTAATCAAAATTCATAACAAAGGCTACTTCCTTCAGGGAAGACAGAGAGGGGGAAAGTCCATGATTTCTGTGTTGGCAAGCCAGTCTGGGAATGTGAAAATTGAAAATGTTTTTTTGTTGAGATCTTGGAGCCTGGGAGCCAGAAGAAATGCTACTCTGGGAGCAGAAATGAAATACTTCTTCTGAACCTCAGCCTGCCTTTCAGTAAAGTGGGGAGAACAGCTTACTTCCTCAATCTCCAGGGCTGCTAAAGCACAGGGGAGATCTAGGGAAGAAATCTTTGGGAAGAAAATTCTATTTCTAGGACTCCTTTCTGTGTTACAGCAGAGGTCTAGTGCTAACCTGCAGCTACCCTACCTTGCTTTCTGTCAGTCCCGTCCTCCACCACAGCGGGGCAGAACCACGCCCTTCCCACGTCTCCCATTTTGTAACCAGTACATAGAGACACAAAAAAGCCATTTCCACCATGGACTCGCTCCTTGTGGAAATTTGGTTCTGCTGCAGAAGCAATTCTGAAAACGTTCTGGGCTGGCAGCTTTAATCTTGGTTAATCAATTTCACAGATTCTCGTCTTCATGAATTCACTCTTTTGTGACTTTTACGGTAAATTTTCCTATAGGATCAGCCTACTTGGAGAATGAGATGCTGAGAATTACCTAACATACACATACTAGCAATAATATTTTCAGCCTAAGAAATGAAATTAATTCAGTTAAATGAATCTGACGTCATGCACTGGATGGACTGCTGTAAAACAGACTTCACAGTGTTGATTAAATGTAACGAACTCCTCTTTCTCTCATAAGCCTTACAGGGTTTTGTTCTTTACTTTCATAATATCATGAAGTTTGGGTGAGGAGGTGGAGGGTAGGTGGATAATACGGGAATTTGTAACCTGAAGTTTGACACTACTGCTGGACCACGCTGACAGGAGATTTTTCTCCACATAAGACATTTAAGTCCAAGGAGAACAACTAGGGGCATGAAGAATCCACCTGCCAGGTTATCACTAACCTCAAAGCCTTGGGCTTATGTTTTCCACAATCTACACCGATAGAAATGGAGAAAAACACCCAAAACTCCAGGTACAAAGAATTGCTGATCCCACTGAAGCCCATGCACACTTTAAGAGGAAAGTTGAACCTAACTTGTAATGGTTCCAAACTAAACACCCCGTTCCTTGCCACATTGCTCTTATTAAGGGTCAGAAAAAAGGTCAGACAGGCAGAATTGCTACCTGGTTCTACTTTTTACTTCTCTGGCCCCATATCTGAGCCATTTCCGCAGGAACTCCCAAACTACAGCCCCCTTTGTTCCCTGCTGTCCTTAATTATAGATTTTACTTGGTTGTTAGTCAAAGCCTTTGGGATATTTGGATCTTGCACCCATAACAAATGGCAGTCCCCTCTCTGCTCACCTACAGTGGCTGAAGAGGCAAAGAAGAAGAGAACCTCGAGGCGCAGCAAGGCATCAGAGTCATCAAAACCCATCTGGGCTTTACCCAAGTCACTGACTGCTGCCAGGACACTCCCCAACTCAGCCCAGGAGAACCAGGGCTTTGCCCCGTCTGCTAGAATTAGGGCCACTTCTTGTGCTCATTTGCTAACCTGGCACATTTGGTGTCAGGAACAGAAGCTTCTGGTCAGAGAGAATGCAGTCATGAGGTATTTTTTTCTCTTTGTCCTTTTAGACAAGTTGATTATTTCAAGCCTAGATTACCAGGTCTCTAGGAGCAGCACAATTTTGTCCCTACCTCCACCCTCCCACCCCTACCCACTCTCAGGACCCCCAGGGTTCCCCCTTCCTTCCTCTCACCCCTGTGCCACTGCACTCCTGACAAGAGGCCACCGGGCAGCTCTTGCATGGGCCCTGGGGCCCCTATCAAGGCAGACTGCCGCCATGCAGTCGGGCATCTGTTCATTTTGTTGTTTTGTTTTTAGCCAACACTAGAACAGAGAGAGAAGCCAGGATCAACTCACAAACAGATACAAAGCAAAGAGACAGAGAGACAGCGATTTAGAGGCCAGTCACCAGAAAGATGTCGTCAGTGTGGGAAGATGCCCCAGATGGCAAGGCCTCTAAATGGATGGAACCAAGTTCAGTCACTCTCTCACGCTTGGGTAGAATGTTCAGTTGGATGGCATTCACGTGGACACTGGGTTGGGGGTACTTCTCCAATCAGTCCCAGCCATTGTCCTTGATCATGTGTGCTAACTCAATGATGTATTTGCCTTCTTTATACTTCTGGCTGCTTTCAAAGGCATGTTCCTAGCAAACAGAGAGGAAAGAGAAAAGATGTTGAATGACCAAAGACAAGCAGCTGACTTCTGCAGCACAGAAGCAGAGGCAGTGCTAATGACAGGGGTCAGGACCACTGAGCTCTGGTCCCAGTTTTACCCAGACTCACTGAGAGAATTCCTACCACTCATGCACTCCGTCTCCCCTTACTTACCTGCAGAACTGAGGGAGGCAACACTAGGACTTTCTCAATATTACAACAAAACCTCTGCAAGATCTATGCTCATTCAAGTCTTTGCTCAAATGTCACCATCTCAGTAAGGTGTTTCCCAACTATACGCCTTGAAATCTCAACTTTCACCCTAGCACTCCCTCTGCCCCTTTTCCCTGCTTTCTTTTTCCCAAAGCACTTTATCCCTTTCAAACATACACTATAATTTGCATATATTTTGTTTATTGCCTGTCTCCCACTACTAGTATATAAACTTAATGGAGGCAGAGATTGTCATATGTTTTGCTCATTGCTTATCCCGAGTGCCTAAAAAATTGCCTGGCACACAGATCTTCAATAAATAATTGTCAAATACACACACACATATAGTCATGCATCACTTAACAACCACGATACATTCTGTGAAATAGGATGTTATGTGATTTCGATGTTGTGAGAACATCATATTAAATATTTAGCAAAGCTTTATGAGATAACCTTTTGTTTCACTTCCAAATTGATACTTCTCTTTTGCCTCTTGCTGCTGCTGTCACTAGCACTGGTTTTGCTGTGTTTGGGAGCCATGATGCACTTTTACAGCAATATTTTCAAAAGAAAATGCTACAACACTCTACCACAGGCGTTCATGTGACTAGCAAGACGTATGTGTTATAGGTTATATGTGTACTGTACCATTATACAGCTGGCAGCACAATCACTTTGTATATAAGAGACATGAGAAACACATGTCGTGTGTGGGAAGCTGTCTGCATTCACTACGTCCAGTTATGTCTGCTATGTCCTGTTCTCCCATCAAGATTTCTGAACTCTATTATAACCTTACGGGACCATGGACGTATATGCAATTGGACATTGCCCGAATGGATGTTACACAGCACACGACTGTATATTATCTTAGGGGACTCTGCTTTCAGATGCTAACTAGAAGTGTGCCCTATGGATGTATCCACATAAAGTTTCTATGTCATTCCCACCAGTATCTAGGAACCCAGGAAAGTCTGGTTATACTTTTAAACTGTACTTTGTTATGCTCAGAGAAAAGGCATTCAGCAGGAGAAGCAAAGTACTGTGAGGCCAAACAGTCTCCTTTTTATTTCGTTTATCTTGCTGTTTCTACGTCAGATGTGTTAAGTCTGCTTTTCCTTCACTGCCTCTCTCCAGGGAAGAAAGGAGCTGTAAGAACTCCAGGCTGGAGAAGCCAGCAGCCCTCAGGACCCATCCGACTGCTAGGCCTCCCAAGGGAAACCTCAATGCAAACCACCTGGCAGGTTACCTTTCTCAACTTACAGCACCATGGGTTTTCCCAGCTAATAAGCCCCACAGAATGAAGTCCTGCATAGGTGCAGGATAGAGGAGCTGTTATATTCAGAGAGATAGGTACGTAAGAACGTCTTGGTATAACATATGAAAAACACCAGTCAGTGAAGTCATTACGTGGCTAAGCACAAATGTGTACAACCAGTGGATGTCAGCTCTTCCTCTGGAGTCCCCTGAATTAGTAAGGAATAAAATCCTACTGTCAGTAGTAGGGCAGCATTTGTATGAACTGCATCTCCTGCTCTAGAGCTCGGGGGCTTTGGGTTTTGGAAAAAGAGTTCAGACTTAGGCCTCTTGCTTTGAGAGAAGAATCATTCCACAAAGTGGAGAGGGGATAGGAGAGGAAATGAGAATGTGCAAACACACCTATGAGAGCTGTGGGCTCAGCAGTAATTTCCCTGACACTTCATTATTCCCCAGCTCTGTGTGTGTGTGTGTGTGTGTGTGTGTGTGTGTGTGTGTGTGTGAGAGAGAGAGAAAGCAAAACTGGGAGAATGAGGATATCTTTATTAAGCAAAAACAAAAGAAAAAAAAAATCAACAGTCCCAAGCTTCACAGGCATCTTGAAAATGTCAGAACCGGGCTCCAGGAGAAAGTGCACTAGATCTGGAGTCTAAGCACTTGCACTGAATTCAGATTCTCCCATTTCCAAGTGACAGAAGCATCACTTAACCACTCAGACTTTCCATTCACTCATCTCTGAAATGGGGATAACTACACCAACTTCACACGGTGGCTGTGAAGAGTTAGGAATGGCTGATGGAAACTCTTACATAGCCCTTCCTCGATGTTTCCCTCTTATCCTGAGCATATCACTACACTTATCAAGCTGTTTTCTCTTTACATGCCACTTTCCTCCCAGGTATCATGACTGTAAATGCACTAAGGACAAGAACTGGATCTCATCCACTTCTACATCCAGCACTGACCAGGGCCTGGGCATGTCAAAAACTTCAATAAAGGTTGGCCAAATAAGTGAATCACTTTACCTGAACCACAAGTAAGGTGGCAAAACTAACCAACTCACGTTTATCTTTTGTCTCTAATCCAGCCCATCCTCAGTAGATAAGATGGCCAAGAGGTTATGAAACAGAAGGAAGGGGTAGAACATTTTTGGATAATCACAACCAGAACTGAGGCTCCCAGAACACCCAGAGGTGGCCGTCTGCCATTACAGGGGGAGCAGAATGGCTGAGGTCAGTTTCTCCCACAAAGAATAACCAAGCCCATCTCAGCATCACAAAACACATCTTCTGGGTTTTTTCTTTCTAATCCTGAATATTTCACGGAAGCCATAAAAAATGCAATCTATCCCTTGGTCCCAAAGGTGCTGCTGCCAAGGTCACTGCAGACTCCACCTGTGGAAGTTTTTACCACTCCTTCAGGCTCCTTCTGAAGCCAGTGGCAGGTCACATTGGCAGCGTGCTACTGAGAGGATGAGAAATTTGAGGGATTTTACATGGAATAAATTGTCCTCCCAGAGACAGGAAGACTAATTTTCAATATCCCATAATAACAGAGCGAGCAGAAAAGAATATTGTGCTATACATGTCTATACACACAGCCTGAAAAGGAGCTAATGATAACAATAATAGCAGTACAATTCTACTGGAAACTGACTCCAGCTTCACCAGATGTTACTTTACCACTAGCCAGAGGGACTGTGGGGACTCTGTTTATTGTCATGTAGTGACCACACTGTGAGTTAGCGCAATTGGCTCCCAGTGTTAGAGCAGCAGGTCCTTTCCCTTCCCTCCTCTTATGCTGGCAAATGATTACTCACCCTCCCAGGCCCCAAAAGGACATTAAAATTTTTTGTTGAGTTAAAGAATAAAAGAATGGTTGTCCAATTGGGAGAGTTCAACCATGACTGTACCTGAAGGTGAAGATTAATTAAGATAATGTTTGATGGTGCCTGGCACAGGGCCTAGGACCTAGTAGATGTTCTAGGAATGTTTACTGACTGCATCAAAGTGTAGTGCTTAAGAGCATGGGCTCTACCACCTGGATTCCAATCCTGGTTTGGCCATTTAATGGCTAGATAACCTTGGACATACTATTTAGCCTCCCTAAACCTCAGTTTCTCCATTTACAAAATCGGGATAAAACTGTACTCACCCTCTAGTAGTTCTGTGAAGAGTAAATGAAATAATGCATGCCTAACACATGACTGTCAGTAAATGCTATGTGCTATTATTGCTGTTGTTATTTATTAAATCAAAAGGTAGAGAGGTGTGTGGGTGTGTGTGTGTCTGAGGCACAGGTGTGAAGAAATGAGTAGGTGGAGGGGAGTGTCAGAAGAATGAGCATGGCAGACAGATGAGTGTGCCGGGATCTGCTCTGTGCTCAGTTTGCTCAGTTCCCTGTCCTGGCCTAAGACATTCCCACATGGCTGTGGGAAGCAAGGAGAAGGCAGCGCTGTTCTAGTGTGAGGCTCTCAGCTATTCCCTTCATAGGTCTCTCTCCACCAACCAGACTCCTCAGTACTTACATATTTCCAGCCCAGAGTGGTTTTGCAGTTTTCACAGTAAATGTCTGCGACTGCGTGCAGTCCTGTTAGCAACACTCGCTCTTCTGCAGGCCCACAGCCCACATTAACTCTGCGCCAAGGGACAAAAAGAAAGCGCAGGTAGTCAGTCACAAGTACACTGTTAGTCATTCCAGCTGAGCTGCCAACAAAAAATTAACTGGACAAGGCTACCCCAGGGGAAACGGAGACTGAGAAGAGCATGGTGTGTAACTGAAATCGGTAACGACCCCAAAAGGTAGCCACATGGAAATGTCTCCATTTGAATGAGTTTCGTATCTCCAAGTTCTGATTCAGTGGGTCGACTAAAAATAAGTCTGTATGGTTGAGACTTTGCTTGGAATTTATGTAATTTTTCTAACAAATGCTTTTAATCTTGTGACTTAAGGGAACAAACTGGCAACCACACTGTGAAATCCACAGCCACAAGCACAGGGCATCTAATCTTAGTTAAAATGAGAATCACATCAAGAGGACTAAATGCAGCTGAACATGGAAGATGCACCATCTCTGCCCTGATCCCAATGTACCTACTGAGGGGAGTGGGTATATTGTTTTTAGCCAAAGACGCTGCCCAAAAAATTTCCCGGAAGTGGCTCACTACCAAATGGGGAGAAGTAATACTCTGTGGAGTTTTTCATTGTGGCAGAGAAGGCAGAGCCCATTGTTTCATTAACGTACAGGTTGATATTCCCCATCCCTCAAAATCTGCACCAAAAATAGAGACACTCACACTGAATTAAAGAGGTATGCCCGTCCTTGACTTCCTTGGAACGACTGAAATGCAAGAAAACAAATCGATAGTTAGATACCCACTTCATCCACCCATTCGCGAAACCAGCCCCAAATCACAACAATCATGACCTTCCAGGATTGACGCAGAAAAAGGGAGCTCTGAGCCAGTTAACACTCCAGCTGGCAGATGGCATGAGGGGAGGAGAAGGCAGAATAAACAGAGCTACAGAGCTCAGACCAGCCCAGGTGAGAATACGAAAGAAAAAAACAAAACACCAAATTCCACAACGTCATTAAAAGTTTCTTCCCTCCTGGCAACGCCTGACAGAATTAATCCACTTGAGATAATTAATCCACACTGGCCTTTCCTGGTCCCACTTGATTTCAGCCATCTGTGCAGGCCACAGCTTTCCTAAGGTTGGCCAGGGCATGGAAACCAATACAGGCACTTTCTCATCCTTTCCGTTCAGCTCTGCAGAAGGCACAGAAGCCCCAACACAAGAATAAACTACCAAATGCTCACTTCTCACTCATCTTCCCTTCTCATAGACCGTAAATGCTATGACAGTCTAAATGGGAGCATGGGTGCGCTCCTTGTGAAGTGTAAGCAACTTGATCTTTAGATCACAGAAATGCTCATTAAGCAGCAATCCCATTTTAAAACTCTAGCTTAAACATGAGCTTCTTTTTTCCAGCCGGAGGGTGGCAGGGAACAGCTGAAACAGGAGCCGCAGCTTGCCATGCAATTTGGCGTCTGCTTCCATTAACACAGGCCCTCTCCGTGTTGTCCTGCTCTGGTTACACAGGGATGCCTGGCTGACATGAGCCAGCCATGTTCTGCACCGCTGCCTGCATTTTTAATATGGTCTGACAATCACATCCTGAATTAAACATCCTAGTCCTCTCTGAGAAACCACTCTAAAATGAATGAATCAGTGAATGAACAAGCAAGCAACTCCCATGACCTCTGTTATTCTAGTGGCTGAAAAAATCAGGGCTGACTGGTTAACAGATGACCAGAGGGTGGGAGATCACCAGGCAGGGCACAGAGCATTGCACAGGAGACGGTTGTTTTGCCAGACACAAGACTTCAGGATTCAGTGCTGCCTGTCAGAACAGCAAAATTCTTGACTTGTGGAAAAACTGCCTTTGGGGCAGCTGGTTTGTGGGTTGCCTCCAACATTCAAATGCAAAGGAGCCTTCACTCCGAGGTGCAGCCACAAGGCTCAGATCTAAACCAACTCTCTCTTTTCCTCTGGGTCTTGAAACATCCCTAGGGGACATAAGAGCTCCTAGGCCAGGAATGAGCAGCTATGAGTGTCACAGCCTCAAAACCTGGAACCTGGAAGTCCATGCCAAGTGTTTGGATGAGACAATACACCAGGACCATAGACGACAGATTTGGAGAGGTCAAGGACAGTCAGCGTAGCAAAAGCCCTTCACGATCTAGCCCTGCCAACCTCTCCAGCTTTGTCTCTTACTACCTTCCCATTGTGTTCTTTGCTCTAGTCAAGCCAAACCACATGCAGTTCCTGGAACTTGAATTTCACCAATTTTGCTGACACTGTTCCCTCTGATGGGGAGGTTCCTCCCCCTAACCAGTACTAAGCTCAGTTTGGCTTCCCCTCTTTTGCAAAGTTTTCCCTGACCTCTCCCAGGACAGGCACCAATATTCTGGACTCCTCTTGTTCCCCATGTTTTTCTTTTCTTAGCACTTAGCATCCTTGGTTTAAATTGTTTATTTGTACAACCCTCTCAATAAATCGTGAGTTCCATGAGGCCATGTCTTTAATCTCTCTGAACCCCTGGGGCACATAGCACATGAATCTGGCACACAATAAATATTTATTGCATGAGTGAATCACCTCTGATTTCTTTTGTTGTTGTGTTTTTTTTTTTTATTTAAGCAGCTTTATTAATGTATAATTGGCATATACTAAAGGGTACATATTTATAGTGTGCCATCTGATGAGTTTTGACATCAACAGATATTGAGATAATGGAAGTCAGAATTAGTGACAATGAAGATAAAGCACTTGACACCAACTTATTTGAGGAAAAATCAGATAAAAGAATTTTAAAAAATGAAGAAACCCTAAGAATTATGTGGGACTCTACCAAGATGAATAATCTACAAGTGACTGGAGTACCAGACAAGGGGGGAAAACAGAAAATACAAAAAGAATTGTTGAAGATTTGTTGGCAGAAAACTTCCCTGATATCATGAAAGATGAAAAGCTATCTATCCAAGATGCTTATCGGACCCCACAAAAGGTAGATCCCAAAAGAAAGTCACCAAGATAATCAAACTTGCCAAAACCAAAGATAAAGAGAGAATTTTAAGAGCAGCTAGGGATAAATGAAAAGTCATCTACAAAGGAGAATCAATAAGACTAAGCTTTCATTGCTCAGCAGAAACCACGCAGGCAAGAAGGCAATGGGATGACATATATAAAGCCTTGAAGGAAAAAAACTGCCAGCCAAGAATCATATATCCAGCAAAACTGTCTCTCAAATATGATGGCGAAATTAGGGCATTTCCGGATAAACAGAAGTTTAGGCACTTTGCAAAAACCAAAACAAAATTACAAGAAATACTAAAAGGAGTCCTCTTTAGAAAAGCAATAACATCAGTTAACAATGCAAGACTAGAACACAGGACAGAGCAACCAGATATCAACTCAGATAGGGAAGTCACAAAAATAAATCAAAGCTAAAACGCTGAAAATAGGGAAACAGAGACATCAATATGTAAAAGATGACAACATTAAAACACAAAAGAGGGACTAAAAAATATAGTCATGATTTTTCATATGGAGAGGAAGTCAAGGTGATATAAAGAAATAAAATATTGGTTTAAATTTAGAAAAACAGGGGTAGATATTAAGATAACCACAAAGGAAATGAACAATCCACATCAAAATAAAAAAACAAGAAAACATAAAGACTCAGCAAATACAAAATCAACAACAACGAAAAAGATGAAAAGACAAAGAAAAACAACTCAGCACAGAAAATTAAGTGGAACAAAGAAACTGTCAACAACCCACACAAAGAAAGACATCAAAATGACAGCACTAAATGCCTACCTATCAATAATTACGCTGCATGTAAATGGACTAAATGCACCAATAAAGAGAGAGTGGCAGAATGGATTAAAAAAAACACAATCCATCTATATGCTGCCCACAAGAGACATAGCTTAGATTTAAAGACACAAACAAACTAAATCTCAAAGGATGGAAAAAAATATATCAAGCAAACAACAAATCAAAAAAGAGCAGGAGTAACAATATTAATCTCTGACAAAATAGACTTTAAAGCAAAATCCACCACAAAGGATAAGGAGGGACGCTATATAATGATTAAAGGGTCAATACACCAGGAGGAAATAACTATAATTATTTACACCCAACGATAGGGCTCCAAAATACATAAAACAAACTCTAACAGCACTGAAAAGAGTGATAGACAGCTCCGCAATAGTAGTAGGAGACTTCAATACATCACATTCGGTGAAGGACAAAACATCCAGAAAGAAGCTCAACAAAGACATGGAAGATCTAAATGCTACAATCAAACAACTTGATCTCATAGACGTATACCGAACACTCCACCCAACAGCAGCCAAGTATACCTTCTTTTCCAATGTACATGGAACATTCTCCAGAATAGAGCACATATTAGGCCATAAGGCAAGGCTCAACAAACTCCAAAGCATCAAAACATTACAAAGCATCCTTTCTGACCGTAAAGCCATAAAATTAGGAATCAACAACAGAAAAAGCAAGGAAAAAAAACCAAACACATGGAAACTGAACACCTTGCTCAAAAACTACTGGGTTATAGAAGAAATTAAGGATGGAATAAAGAAATAAAAGATTAGTCCAAAGGACTAATGGACCACAGCTACCAAGGCCTCCACCAGACTGAGTCCAGTACAGCTAGATGGTTACCACCACTCACCTCTCTGACCGGGATCACAACAGAGGGTTCTGGACAGAGTCGGAGAAGGATGTAGACCAAAATTCTAACACACACACAAAAAGACCAGATTTACTGGCCTGAAAGAGAGTGGAGAAACCCCGACAGTATGGCCCCCAGACCCTTTCTAGCTCAGTGGTGAAGTCACTTCTGAGGTTCACCGTTCAGCTGGGGATCGGACAGCCCCATATAACAAAACGGGATTAATGAGGCACAGCAGTCCAGGGACAAGGACTAGAAGGCAGAAGGGGACAGGAAAGCTGGTGATAGGGAACCCAAGGTTAAGTGAAGACAGTGTTGACATGTAGTGGGGTTGTTAATCACTGTCATAGGGCAACGTGTGTACTAACTGTTTAATGAGAGACTATTTTGTTCTGTAAAACTTCATCTAAAGTGAGAATAGCAGTACAACTGGAAGAACATAATCGATGTCACTGAACTGCCATGCAGAAATTTTTGAAATGGATGCTGTATCTTTGGCTATGTATATTTTCACCAAAAAAAAAAAGGCGAGAAGGGAGAGTGCTGACATGCCACGGGGTTGTTAACCAATGTCATGGAACAATATATGTAATGACTGTTTAATGAGAAACTATTTGTTCTGTAAACCTTCACCTGAAGTACAATTAAAAAGAGCAGGAGTGGCAGTATTAATCTCAGGTAAAACAGACTTTAAAGTAAAAGCCACCACAAAGGATAAGAAAGGACACTATATAATGATTAAAGGGGTCAATACACCAGGAGGACATAACCATAATAAATATTTACGCACCCAATGACAGGGCTACAAAATACATAAAACAAACTCTAACAGCATTGAAGAGAGAGATAGACAGCTCCACAATAATATTAGGAGACTTGAACACACCACTTTCAGTGAAGGACAGAACATCCAGAAAGAAGCTCAATAAACACACAGAAGATCTAAATGCTGCAATCAACCAACTTGATCTCATAGACATATACTGAACACTCCACCCAACAGCAGCCAAGTATACTTGCTTTTCCAACGCACATGGAACATTCTCCAGAATAGACCACATATTAGGCCA